TTGGAGAGTAATGAGGTGATGTTGGAGAATACGTTGGAGACGTAGGTGAATATGTTGGAGATGTGGGTGTATAATTAGGTGACGTTGGTGAATATCGTGGAGAGGTTGGCGAATAATTGGGTGAAGTTGGAGAATAACTTGGAGAAGTAGGCGAATATCTCGGTGAAGTAGGAGTATAGTTGGGTGAGGTAGGTGAATAGCTTGGGGATGTTGGTGAATAACTTGGAGATGTCGGCGAATAGCTTGGGGAGTTCGGGGAATAACTAGGGCTTGTTGCCGGTCGATTATAATTTGATGGGGTTGCAGAATAATTACCAATAGATCCAATAACATAAGGTTGAGGACTAGTTGGTGAATAGTGAGGACTAGTTGGACTATATGCAGGACTTTGCGGAGTAAATGCAGGTGCCGGAGAATGAGCGAAGGGCGCTCCTGGTGAACTTGGAGAGTAAGTCGGTGATGAAGGGCCATAAATAGGACTTTGTGAAGTATATGGGCTTGACCACGGATAACTCCCAACAGTAATGGGTTTTGTACTTCCAGGTTCAAGAACAGGCGAAAATGCCGGTGAAGAAGGGACATAATTATATTGTGGTGATACACTACCATACATTGGAGACATCATATGCGAAGGAGTTCGATTACCAAGAGCATAGGGTGTCATAGGTGCATTCATAGCATGTGAAGGAGTCATGCTACCCATTTGACGTCGTGTTTCAGACATGCCAAATGGAATTCCAGCTTTTGCACTTTCACTAGACGGTGCGGTTGTTTTTAGCATATCCTGATCAAGATATATATCAAATTCCCCGGTTCCTAGAGGTGCAACTTGTCCTAACATAATATTTTCCGCCACCCCTCTACAATCATCAACTTCTCCAGCGGCAGCTGCTTCCATTAATATCTCTACTGTCTCTTCAAAAGAGCACCTCATTAAAGCACCGGTTTCAGCACGGTTTATTCCATGCCGGGTAATCGCCATTAAATGACCACGAGAAGTCATCACATCACATAAAAGAGCCAAATGACGATAATTAACATACGACCCATCAAACTGTATAACATCTCGAAGTTCTTTCAACAACGCAGCTCGTGTCGCCTCAATACCTAAAACTTGCATAATTTCTACACAATTATTGGAGTAAGTGCGCTTATAATCTACATGGTCGACGTTTAGCACTTCTTGCAAGTTTGTACCATCAGTTTCAAGTATTGTCTCATCCTCTTTCATTATTTTACCCATGTCGTTAATGCAAATGCGAGTTTTTTTACTTTCGGTCAAATAAACACGATTAATTCCTTTAATACCACGAAGACCAATAGTTGTCAACATATTATTTTCGACACGTTTTAAAAACACATCTTCTTCAATCTTGTGACCAGAGTCATCTGTACTTTCTTTGTCAATACCAGGTGCAATTTTAATTCGACAGCGAATAACTTTCAGTTCAGAATTGTCGTCATTCCATATAGCATGAATATCATCCTTAAAACTTTGCTGTATTTTGCGTCCAACCATATCCATTTGAAGCTTTTTATCAAGCATCACACCATGATTGAGTTCAAAACGTAAAACCCAAGGAGACTGGTAGCCACCTTCATCAGATTCCTCACTTTCTTCCATTTCATAATACAATTCAACGAAATCTTTATCTGCTTCAATATTAGAACTATGAGGATTAGGATCATACCATATCTCCGTGCGTTGGGTTACAGTCTTCAGAGTAGTGTACTCTATCGCACTTTGGATTTCTTTGGCAGCCTCCATTGAAAGGGAATATTCACCCGTGAGGAACACATGGAGTGAAGGTGTTTTTATGTTTTTGGCAACATTAATAATTTCTTTAAGACGAGGAACACCAAGTGTGACGTTTTTACTTGCAACACCGGCATAATGGAAGGTGTTCAATGTCATTTGTGTAGCAGGTTCTCCAATAGACTGCGCGGCAACTGTTCCAACCATTTCTCCGGGAGAAACAAGAGATTTCCGGAACCTTGATTCGACTTCACCTAAAACCCATTTTAGAGCTTGAGAATTGAGATGGAATTCTTCAATTACACGTCGACTTGCTAACCATGATCTTAATAAGATTTTAAACAATGTAGTTGCGTTCGTCTGTGCTTCATGACTGATTTGATCATTTCCTTTAACTACCAATAATCTCGACATAACTTCTTCAACACTGTTTATTACCTCATGGTATTGCAAATCAGTAGTAGTCCAGCGTGAAGGTCTAATGTTGAACTTTTGTTGGGCATTTTTAATAAGACGTTTAATATTAACAGGTAACGGCCACTTATTATCACCGTTTGGAAAAATGTCTCGTTGCAGCATTTCACGATCTCGTTTTAATTGCATATATTCTTCAACAATTTTTTCTCGAATTATTTCTTGCTGAGTTTTAGGCTTCTTTGGTTGAACTAAATCGTTGTCATCCTGTTGGCTGGTCTCTTTTTCTTTATTCTTTTCGTCATCTTTAGTGAGTTCTATGAGATATTTGTTATCAAATTCTGCGTTACTCATTGGTAAAGTATCAAAAGTCTGTGGCTCAACGAAACATGCATCCATCCCATCTTCTCCATAACAAAATTGAACAATGTCGCCGAGAGAATTACGAACTGTCCCGTCGTACTTAACCATCACATCTTCCAAGGCTTTCACCAAACGACGTTGAATATAACCGGTTTCTGCGGTTTTTACAGCAGTGTCGATTAAACCTTCACGTCCACCCATAGCGTGAAAGAAAAATTCCTGTGGTGTTAAACCACGAAGGTAACAATTTTCGACAAATCCACGACTTTCTGGGCTATGGTCATCCTTTGTAAAATGTGGCAAAGTACGGAATTTAAATCCGAACGGTATACGTTTGCCCTCAACGTTCTGCTGACCGACACAAGCTGTCATTTGTGAAATATTAATAAAGGAACCTTTCGAGCCAGCAATAACCATTTGTTTGACATTATTTTCTTCTTTTAAACTTTGTTCCGCGCTTTTTCCAGCAGCATCACGAGCAGTATTTAGTTCTTTATTGACTCTATGTTCAAATGTTTCCCGTATAGTCATACCAGGAGCACATTCTAATTTGTCCTGTTGTGCCTCCACAATAATTTCAGCTACACGTGATTTGGCATTACTAATTGTATTAGTAATATTTTTCATTGTTTCGTCATCAGCGATCGTATCACCAATGCCAATACTAAACCCATTTTGTAGCAACCATTGGTTGACAACAGCTTGACATCCGTTTAAAAAGTCCTTTGCTTTTTCAGGCCCTAATTCATTCATAATAACATGAACTAAACCTTGATGTGTCGCACCAACTGTCTTTTTACACACGATACCACAAAGTAGCTCTCCATCTTCTATCAAAACTTTAGTATCACCAGGAGAAATATCTGAATGTTCATTTCAGGGTGACCTGAATGACGTAAATTGTCCGAGTTTATACCTTTAGGAATAATCATACTTAGAATTTGTTTACCAGTCCATAAAGGAATGGGTTTTAAGATACAAGGAATCGGAAGACGACCATCCCAATCTAATACCCACATCAAAATGTTCATTACCAAATCTTTTGATAAAAAACAATCGCTCTTAGTGAATTTTCGAACAGCACATAATGTATCCTGGACGATACCCATTACGGGTTTGTTTGATTGGGGCGACACTACTTGTTTAGGTACCATGCAAATTTCAGAAATGACAGC